CAGTAATCTTGAACCAGGTGGGAAAATGACATTGAGGAGATCATCATCTCAACTCTGCTGCTCAGGCTCTGCTATGACATGAAGTCATCCCAGTTAGACTGTCATGAGTAGTGAGCAGCGATCCACAGCAGCCATACCTCCGTCAACTAACTGTAGAGTGAGATAGAGAGAGAGGGAGGGAAAGAAAGACAGCCAGCCTTCGAATAGATTCAGAGCTGTCAATCAAGGCGAGAAAGGAACAACGGGAGGAAAGGTACAAGGTGTGGGGGGAAAGCAATTCCAGGGAGAGAGACAAAGAGAAGTCAGGAAAGAGAAGTGAGCAGGAGGATTGAACAATGCAAAGAGAGTCCTGAAGGGACCACTTCAGAGGACTGAATGTTTTGTTTCTGCATACAGCCATTTCAAATGTGGGTTATTCCCCCACTGGGGAGACTAATTGCTTGTTGATATAATATTACAGCCTTCATCTCCCTGAAAACCAACACATCTGATGAGTTATGGCTCTGCGTGCTACATGTTTTCTTTTTCTTCTCGTCCTTCTTCTTCTTCTTCTTCTTCTTCTTCTTCTTCTCCTTCTTCACCTTGTTCCATCCCCCTTCTGCGGCACAGGAACTCCTGACCTCCTGCAATCTAAATATTCACAAATCAGGAAGAAAGATTTTGGGCTCAGTTCCAATATCAATAAAGCATAACGATACATTCTAGGGGCTGCCTGCTCTTCGAATGAGACATTTGCGGTTTTGTGAGTTATTGACATAATAGTTCAAATCACTTTATCATTCTGACTTTCTCTTTTTGCCCATATCTATTCCTCCTTCTGGTTTTGTGAGGCAGACTAGTAGGGCGCTAATTGATGAGTTTAATGGTAACATTCATGCACATACGATTTGTCAATTACAGGGAGAAGACAGAGGAAAAACAGCAAGTACGCCCGAGGCACAGGTTTTCAGGCACCAGAGCAAAAAAAAAAACAAAAAACCAAAAAACATTATGGTGCAAAGGAATGAGGCAGTTTACCTGAAGAGATCCTATGGATTGAAATGTTACATTTGCATAATTGTTTTTTTTATGCTTTTGTGTTTTGCTTGTGCTTTCTTTTTTTGTCTGTTTTAAGGATTAAGTCATTGCTGAGAGCAAATAGTGTGCAAACCTTTCCTCAATTAAGGAAGAAAACCAGAGCGGGGGTTCTAATCTAGACAGATATTAATCTTATGTTGTGTCTAAAGTGTTTGCTTGCGTCTTTGCGGGGCTGCTTTGTTTCTGCCAGGTTGTCACTTATCTCACCTCCTGTAATGCTGATTGTAGCGTCTTCGGTTTTCCCAAGGAGAGGTATTAAATTATCTCAGGTTCTGTCAAACATGTTTTAGTCCAGTGGCGGAAAATGCGGGTGCGCCATCTCATTTAATCGGGTCAGCTGTAGTCATAGTACGTGATATCACTGATGCCAGTATGGGAGCGTTTTCGTAGGATTATGGAGTGTGTGCATTTACATGAGTTGTGTACAGGAATCTAAGAGTGTGTGTGTATTCTTTTGCTCATAGGTTTGCTTAGAGACTCATTTGTAGCACCGCTATCTCAGACTGCTGAATCAGCATGGGCTCTCCTGCTTTTCTCCTCACTTTTTCCCATTTATGAGTGTCTAGCCCAGCTACTGTCTGTCTGTAAACACACAACCCGAGGGCAGAATCCAATGCACATATTCTCCTCACACCCCATTAAACACACGCTGAACAACCTATTGTGATCCCTTTTCAGAAGAGCCGAGCAATGCATTTGAAGCTTTTCGCTTGCTTTTGTGAGACGCCATCTGCATGCGTGCGGTGCTCTGCTCCCCCGATGTTTGAATTTTATGTGGCAAAGATGATGAGACATAAGATCCCTTCCCTTCTCCTGCTAAAAATGAATTTTTGATCTGCGTTTTATCGTCTTGTAATCTCTGATATTGTTGGTGGTTATTGCTTTATAAAATGGGTCTGCAGCTGGTATGTGCTCCCACATATGGCCAGGGAGAGTTTTATAGAGTCTCTATGTTCTTGTATTAGAAGAAGCTTGATCTCATCACACATGGAGTCAGTGTTACAAGTCAAGAGAGTTTGCAAACTATCAGTCCCACACTAAAAAAAGAGCCCCCCTACACACCCGTAGGAACATTATTGCCTATATGCAGTAACATTTTCACAACCCTTGCACATCTGCTGTATCAAGACAGGTCTTAAACATCCACGACATAGCAATAGCAATATGTTCTTCTTCTATTTGGACTTGGTGCAGTTTGATCATGTATGTTTGATAAATATTGGTGCTCTGACTGTGTGTGGAAATTGCTGTGTGACTAGACATAAGGTCAGTCAGTTAGCCCACAGTGTGTCCGTCAGCCCAGCCAAAGGACATGTAAGAACCGCGGCTCGCTGGGAATCGCCTTCACTTGTGTGCGTGTGTGTGTGTATATAAATCATCTCTCTTTTTAACCTGATTTGCTTCTCATTCTTTCTTTATCGCTAATCCTTCCCGACAGCTTATAAGAGGGGCTGGCCAAATCCTAGTCTATAAATGTCAGAAAATAGGATCTATAAAATGTCCAGCATTTTTAATTTTTTAAGCATAATATTTTTAATTGTGTCTCAAAGACCTGTTTAATTAGCAGTGGAGGCTTCCCTTTCATGCAGTGCTATATTTTCTAGTGTTTGACCTGGCAGTGAGGGAGAATGGGCCCAACACTTTGCCATTGTGGCGATCGTGGCTCAAGAGTTGGGAGTGGCTCAAGGTTGCCGGTTCGAGCCCCGGCTTGGACAGTCTCGGTCGTTGTGTCCTTGGGCAAGACACTTCACCCGTTGTCTACTGGTGGTGGTCAGAGGGCCTGGCGGCGCCAGTGTCCAGCAGCCTCGCCTCTGTCAGTGCGCCCCAGTGTGAATGTGTGTGTGTGAATGTGTGTGTGAATGGGTGGATGACTGGTTGTGTAAAGCGCTTTGGGGTCCTTAGGGACTAGTAAAGCGCTATACTAATACAGGCCATTTACCATTGTTAGTTTAAATAGCTCTCCGTTTGGCAACGTGTTCATATTAGAATTGAAGGCTCTTAGTCAGATTAAACTAAACTATTTTGTTGATGGATTGATTTAAGCAGTCTCTATTAATATTTGAAATACTTAGCCAAACCACTGGCCCGTCATTTTGATAAACTCTGTCATTGTTTTTCTTGATAAGCATCTTAGTGCTGGATAGGTAGGTGTTTCACTTTGTGAGCGAAATGAATAAAATGACTGTTTTTATCTGTCTATCGCTCAGGCAAATAGACACAGCCTTGCCCCATTAAATGTATAACTTATTCCCCTTTTGGCATGCAGCAGTGCCAGAGCATCCTCCCTCATCAGTAAGCCTGCTAAGACATAGGACATTGATCATAGTTATTTTACTCAGTAAGCCCCTCCACACCACACAGAAAGTCTTTGTATTCTTTTGGGATATTGGGGTGAGTGGATTAGGTTATTGCCTGCACTTAAGCACAATGCTATCAGCTACAATAATCTTCATAGTCCACCGTGGCCTTTAGAATTTGGGACTTTAACACGTCACACCAACATCCACAAACTAGTGCTGGCAGGACTGTTTTAGAAATCCTCGTTCTTCTTATCAGTAAGGCTGTATGACTCTCGCAGCCTGTCTGAGATTGTGGTCATGCTGCAGAATAACTTTTAAATGATCAGAGCCTGATCGCTCTGGTATCAGGCGATGAATAAAACATTTAAAGTGCCCGAAACTTTTGCACACTGCTGTGCACGAGGAAAACGTAAATGAGGAAAAATTCAGTACTGCGCTTAAATATGTCTGCATACAGTAAGGGGTCAAATTTACTAAGCAAAGCAAATGAAAACACAATGCAAAAATGTGCCAGTGGGTGTGGAGGCTTCTGCTAACAATGCCCTAATTTAGAAACAAAGACGCAGCCGGCTCATTTTAATATTGAACAAAAGCGTCTACCAACAGAAGAACAAACCAGCAGGTCAAAAGCAAACAGACCCAAAGAGGGAGCGAGTAATGCACTAACCAAAGTAATATGAGCTAAGCACAGGTTTCAGGCATGGTCCTCTGTCTGGATATAGTATAGTATTCCAGCTCTATAGGTAGCATCGAATGTGGATCCAAATGTTTTTGATGTAAGGGCAAACTCTGTTTCCATTAGATATTCCTGGGGACTTTGTGCTGTCTTGTAGGCTGAGGCGGCCATTCACTGGATAAATCTGACAGCTCAGGTGGAGTGTGGGATTTATCTGGAGGAGGGATTACAAACTGTTCAGCTATACTACCTGAAATCGCTGTGTCACACCTGTAGAATTTGTAGAAGAACACAAATCATTATTTACCGCAAGCTCTTCACCAAGCCTTTGTGTGCCTACAGATCTTAAGATTCAGACGTTAAAACACTTTTCGGCTTTTGTGCACTCTGCTGTTTTTCAGAAACCTCAAACCCATCGGTCACTGTTAAAAGAAAAAAAATTAAATAAATACCTTGGGTGGCTGTAATCCAAGACACATCTGTTTAGGTATTGGGGTTTTCCCTCTCTCTACCACACTGAGTTCAGAGAGTTCGGTTAAGTTAAGTTGTGTTTAATCAATATGCCTGTATTATAGATATGCAGAGCTCGCCGCTAAACATTCAGGGCGAGGACTCAGTGGAGAAGTACAGGATACAGCCAAAGCTGCAGCACCGTGTTCACATCCTTGAGCCATCCATCCATGCCAATTACCTCTATTTCTGATAACATCTTCCACTGCTGTCCCACATAAATTAACCCTCCTAGCACCAGCGATGACAGCCACATTAGGAGCAAAATAAGACATGCGTTAAATATAGCGGAGTTTGGGAGGGGGTAAGAGTAACTTGCAGAAAGGCAATTGACAAAAATCACTTAAAAATAGCTTAACCTTGTGCTTGCCTTAATTGGATTCATGCTTTTTTTGTTGTATTTTACAGTTCTAACAGTGTTTTTTTTCTTGTCACAGCATGTCCACCGGGTACCTTCAAGTCGACCCAAGGTCCAAGTCTTTGTCTACAGTGCCCTCCTAACAGCCGCTCCACATCTGAGGCTGCCACCATCTGCGTGTGCCGCAACGGCTACTACCGTGGGGATGGTGATCAGCCAGATAAACCTTGCACCAGTAAGTATCCAATAAATTAGATTGGCTGCGCACTAAGGCACTAATACATATTAAAAGCCACATATAAACAAAATGTCAGAAATGGCACTTTCTGGCATTTTCTGAGACAAACTGAAAAGGATCCAGTGGTCTATCACGGCTATCACAGGGTGAGACGCGGGGTTATCTATTTTAATTTAAATGCATATGAATGTGCATTTATCCAGCACCCATCTTGTCTTCTTATTGTCTTCTTCTTAGGATTGATGGAGCTCCTTGTGTTTCCTCTCAGCTATCTCTCTCTCTCTCTCCACATCCTTTCTCACTTCTCTCGTTTTTGCTGTTGTTCTTTCTCCGTGTCTAGTATCATCCCCTGAAGTCCTAATTACTCAGGCAAATGCTGTGAAACTTCGACACTGTCCTGCCGTTATCCGCTGGAGATCCAATAAGGCCTCTCACAGCATCATAGTTATCTTAATATGATGTAAAAGCAATATGCTAAGCCTTCCTGTTATCCCTGCTGACACACAGTTATGCAGAGGGAGAGCATTGTTAGACCCCAAAAAGTTTGTTTACCTCACTTCCTTCACTGTCACTGGGGAGTGTCTTAATGGTTTGTTCTCTTCACAACACCAGGCCTGGAAGCATTATTGGTGTGGTTATGTGTTCATTTAGCCCACATTTATTCACATAGACCTGATTAATTGGCCCAAATGGACTCAAAAGCACATAGAACTTTCCTAATCAGGTAGCAGCTGTATAGCTTTTGCTTCTAAACTCTGAGTTCGTTGTTCTTATTTAGCCATGTATTCTTTTGTGAAATAAATAAATGAATAAAAGGGGCTAAAAGGTGCAGTGAATGCCCAGCGGAGCATGGCTGTCTGTCTCTGAACGATTTGGCTATGTGAAAGGTGTGCACAGCAGCGCTTAATCCACCGAGGAAGACGTTACACGTAGGTAGAGTGCCGTTTGGTGAAAAAGTGGACCTGAACAGGTATGAGGGCAACAGCATTGTTCACCACAAAGATGATGGCGTCACTAGGTTTCATTTCAGCTCTTGGTCACAACTTCTATCTTTTCTGCGGCAACAATAGCACAAACAGGACTAGCGCACAGACTGGTTGTAGAACCACATGTTCTTGACGTGAAAGTAAATGGCTACAACATGTAGACATGTAACATGGCTGCAAAGCAGTGCTTAGCTCTGCATAGGACAAACGCAGAGCTGTGCTGGTACTGTTTAGGCTTTAGATGTTCTCAGTTTTCTGTGCTCTCCAATAGTTTACGGCACTGCCTGACGAATTAGCAAGTGTTCCATCAGCTAAAGCCTCAGCCTTTATTTTGTGGCCTTGCATTTTCCCCCAAGCAATCTCAGCTCAACAGCAGCTCCATCTTAGACATCTTAAATAGATCCGTATGCTCTGTGTTCCATTTCAAAATGTAACTGGCTCCTTTTTTTTCTGTTTTCAATCTCGTCTTATCTGCTCTGTCAGTTCTGTTATTTTTCCCTTTGCCCCACTCTTCTCCTTCATTTTGTGCTCGGTCCTCTCTATAACTCTGTAACAGGAGTCCAGTTACATTGCTGTTTGTATTCAGACAAAAAAATGAAACTGCTTACTAATACACTCACACTTAAGTAAAACATACCAAAAGGCTGTATGCTAAATCTGTTGGAAATGGTCCCTTTTAGCAATATTATATTGATAATATTAAGCAAATGTTAGCAGCTTTTCAATTTGTGTTAAAATAATTTGTCTGCAAATCTGTCTGCCCAAAGCTTTTTCTGAAGGCTGAAGCATACAGTAGCAGCTAGGCGTGATGCTCTAGTTGTCATAGATCTCAGCCAGGGGGGCTAGTGAGATGATCCTAGTAGCAATCTCTTTAATACTGCAGGTCTTGATAAGAGCACTGCTAGAGTAGCTTAAATCAGACCAGCCTGTAGCTTGATGCTGTAGCTTAAGCACTTCTTGCCGTCATCAGGCACGTAGGGGCTCTATGCTCCTGATCAGTCTGATTAGCTCGCTGATGGATTGTCTGTTGCATGGCTCTGTGAGCTGAAGGCCGCATGCTAACCACCCCACCCCCCACAACCTTTTTTTTCCCGTTGGGGGTATGAATATGCCAAGGCAGAGATGCACTTTTAAATACCAGCTCCTCGGATTTCCTTTATCTAAGACATTTTTTTCTGACTTCAGTTTATGCCTGAGGAGAGGAATCAGCTACAACCCTGTTAATACGTTTTTGTTTGAAGACATGCGAGTTTTACCTTTGTGCCAGTGTCCATTCTGCTCTGGGTAGAACAAGATTTTGGAAACGCTCAACCAGCTTTAGCTTGAAAACCCAGGGATTGTGTTTTAGTCTGGAGAAGGAAATATAGAGACTTTTTTTTTAAACGCACATATCCTTGTTGATTGGGTTTTATCTGCCACAAAAATTAAGCTAGAACATTTAAGCTTACTCTCATTCCTTTTTGATTTCAACCTTTTTGTCTCGGTAGTCATTCCATTGGTGATGCTTTGGTACCTCTCTGTGTATTTTCAAGTATTGGTTCCATCTCAGCCTAAGCAAAGAAATCTCTGCTCATATGTTTTCTTATCATCTTTCTCCTTAACATTTTTGTGACCAACCCTCTGTTTCCTGTTGCTCCTCAGTGCATACACTGCCAGAGTCTGCGTTTGGTCGATGCGATGTGCATTTATAGGTTTGTTAATGAAAATGTTCCTTCCTATCTGAATTTTCATTTTAAAGCAGTTTTAACAGTTTTTAAAATGAAAACATATTCAAATATTTTGAAGAGAAATGTTGATAAAGCTTCAAAGATTGTGTGTGAAACCTTTTCATTCTGATTTGGACTTTTTTAGTGAGTGTTTTATGTTCACTCTGATCCCCAAGCTCAAGGCCCCAGTTTGACATTCCCCAACTACCCCACAGATGTGCGTGTGTTTAAAAATAAATAAATAATGAAAATAAATAAATAATGTTTTCATGTTAGCATGGTTCAGTGGAGAGAGGTCGGTGTGACCCAGCATGCTGGGACAATGGGTGTCTCAGTATGTGGAGTCAAAAGAATGACAAGCTGAGTAGTAACTGACGGGAGTCGAGCAGTGAAACCAGTTCTAATTGGTCCGGGGGGGCAGGGGAAAAGGTGATGGTGCATGAGGTCCGGGTGGACTTGTGTCAAAGAAAGAAAAAACAAATCCCATCAACACACCAGGAGGTACTCCGTGTGACAAAGCAAGATTTGAATATGCATTTTTTAATGTATAGTCTATGCTGAAAAATAAAAGCAACCCTGCCAAATTCTAAATATGTTATTATGTTTATACATTTTTAAAAAAAAAAGCTGTATATGCAGCTGCTAACTGGTTCATGGGGAACATCTTTGGATGGTAATTGAATCAGCATAGATATGGGAACTGACAAGGAAAGCAGTATGGTTCTGATGAATTTCAGTATGCGTAATCTGTACCATATTGGTTCTGAGTGTTATGGCTCTCACTCAATACTCATATCTGTGGCCTGTCCCCTGAAAACTTCCTGGAGTCCTATCGAATGTCGTCTGTGCTTTTGTAATCCAAACAAAACCCATAAAAATTTCTAACTGAAATGGTTTATCTGTTTTTTTTTCTTCATTTTCCTCATCATCCCATTTAGCTGTTTTCCTCTGATTTTATAGTCAATTCAAAGGGAAAAGAGAGGAAGCTGTCAAAGTGAATAAATCTCTGCTCTTTTCTCACAAGCCTTTTTTTTCTTAATCCACTTCTGGAGTCAGTTAAGGGTGCTTCCCACAGCTCAGCCATCAGCTGGCCAGTTTCCTCTCTCAGTGACTGGTAATAAATGGAGCTAAGTCAAGGTAATTGTCTAGCCTGCTCTAATTCTTGTACTGACTTTGAAGACATAATGCTCTAGACTATCAGGCACAAGCATCCACTTATATTCAAAACTTTCCTAAGTCTCGTTGACACATCTAAAGTATCGCTCACACAGAGTCAAGAAAGGTTCAAAGCTACTGTCGAGTGTTATGGATGTGTAGATTGTACTTTTATCAGTTTCATATTCCAGTTCTTCCTCACTCATCACTGTGAATACACCCAAATCTCACAAGCAGCACTGCTAACACGAACACACTCCGACTCTGATTGCTTTAGTCTCTTACAGAGTCACTTTTAATCCTTATAACATGTTGTTTTTTTCATCTCTCACCAGCCCACACAGCCCCTCTTTCTTTCTCCTGGCTCCTCTGGCTGTGATCACTATCTCCACACAGGGACCTTCTGTTGGCCCCCCAAGGCCTTTTTCACATCATAAAAACAAACAGTTTGAAAGAAGAGAAGCACTAGCCTCAGACCATTCAAAAGGTGGATGAGTACACAATATCTGGACGTTTTTATTTTGGGCACTGGGGCTCTCTTTATATCAGTAGCCAAGGAAGGAAACTGGGCCGTAGTGTTTTACAGTCCAGGTGGTATTTTAAAGCCCCCTTAGTAACAGGGCGCTATGCATATCAGCCTGTGAGTGTGAGGAACACATGAGGGGAGTAACACAGTAGGACTTTTGACATAATACTCATAACAATATTGATCAGACTTTCATTTTGTCTACTAACTCAGGGTGTTTTTTTGCTGCCGTGCATTTCTGCCTCGCTGCGTCTCTTCTTTCTAGGAAGCCATGTTCAGCTTGCGTGCCCCTGTCGATTTATTTAGCCGTATCATAAAGTGTCATTTTGATTTCCACATCTGCTTAAAGGGTATGACATAAATACTGTGGATGGCTGCACCAGTCTTATTCGCACAGACACTTTTGCGCATATTGCACTCGCCCATATTATAGAAAAGCACATGTGTAATGATGTATCATTACTGTTCCTATGCTAATGGCCTGCTTTTTGTGTTGCTGTGTGCACTGTCTTTACTTTGCAGAGTGGTGCAAAAAAGAAAAAAAATGTGGGCGTTCTTTTTGGAGGGGGATTGGAGAAATGATCTATTTCTGTAATAGCAGTATGTATGTAAACACAACCAAATTATGTTGTGTGTGTGATGTAACTGAAGGAATGTCTGCCAAGAGCTACAAGTAAAACTGCCACCAAATTACTTCCTGTGGCAAATTAAAACAGCCAAGGTACAGGTCATCATACAGGTGGAAGTCCTGTGTGATTGCTTACAGCATCCCTGCATATGTAGAGTATTGTTGCAACTGGGACGTTAGACATATAATTCACACCATAGTCTGTCTGTGGGTTTGGGCATGCATTTTCCACATGAACAGACCTGCTTATGTTTTTTCCCAGCAAGTGCATTTATGTGACAGATGACATAAAATGTATGCTGCGTGAGTAACATGAAGTGCAGTCCATAGTCCCTAACAGCGAAACTGCCTCCAGTCCCCTCAAGCAACCCCTATGACATATTTTACACATTTTCATATGAATTTGCTGGTTTCTATGTGCCTTTTGCCCATGTTGTCTGGAGCGTTAGCGGCCCTCTCATCCAGACCATAATAATCACGCTGTGTGGTTACACCCTTTGAGACCCTGAGACGAGGTTGCAGAAGTAACACAGCCATTCCCACTCTTGTGTGTTCTGTCATTTTTCACTTAGCTTACCGAGTATGTGTGTGTGGCTTTGCAGCAAAAATTAATTGTGTCTTTGTAGACTGAGGTAACTATTTTCCTCATTTCCATGAACATGTGCTGTATAAAATTCTTATTGTTGTAGGTGCTCGTGGTCAAAAGCTAAAATAAAGTAAAAAGAGGAAGAAGGCGAGTCGAGTAATTCCTCAAAAGGTTTTCTAGAATTGAGTTGATTTTCGGTTCACTGTAGTCATGGGTCTAGAAATAGGTCAGTTTAATTTCTCTTATAATGATAAAGGTCAGGCTTTATGCAAGATAAATTGCTACCAGATCAGCTCTGCAGGGCTGCCTCACTTAACCTAAGGAGCACCGAGTAAGGGTTTTGGAAAGCTTTGTCTGGTATCTGGGAGGGCTGCTTCTGAGCAGTCGAAGGGTCTCTCAACTAAGAGTAATTCTCCACTGGCATTTAAACAGATTTTAACTCTTTAAGAATTGTGCTGCAATTGCAGAAGGCCAAACAAGGCACTTTTCTGCACCCTGATATTAAGCCACCACTCAAGCAAAACAATAGTTTCATTATTTCTTGATTTCTTTCTGAATATCGTTTTTGAAGTTCCGCTCCAGCTGCGGGCTATGAGGGAGTGAATGGGAGCGTGAATCTCCAGAGCCACTTGGATAAGAATACTCCATGCAACACTGCATTTTGCTAAATAACCAATGTTTGATAGACACAAACGTTTCGCTGTATGATCTCTCTGGATGTGAATGGAATAAATTAGCATTCCAAATTGTGCTCGAGATGAAGAAAAATAAGAAAAAGACAAGTTGCTCTCAAAACCAGCATTTGTATTTATTAGACTGTTGTAAAATGACAAAAGTAAAAGGAGAGAAATGTATGAAACTATTTTGTTTTCCTCTTTATAAGCAATGTGTTAATTTTCTTTCAGCCTGATGTCATCTTTTACACAGATACCTTCAAGTTTATCTTTCATAATTTTTATATCTACAGGCGTGCCATCCAGCCCGAGAAATGTGATCTCCATCGTCAATGAAACCTCGGTGATCCTGGAGTGGCATGCCCCCAGGGAGACGGGTGGTCGTGATGATGTCGTCTACAACATAGTGTGCAAGAAGTGCCAGGCCAACCGGCGTTCCTGTTCCCACTGTGATGACAATGTCGAGTTTGTTCCTAGACAGCTGGGCCTGACCGAGACCAGGGTGTTCATCAGCAACTTATTGGCTCATACCGTCTACAGCTTCGAGATACAGGCCGTCAATGGTGTCAGCAATAAGAGTCCATACCCTGCGCAGCATGTTTCCATAGATATCACCACCAACCAGGCTGGTAAGTACCTTTCCTTCCATGATCATTCAAAACGCTGTCCATATCAATGTTGTTTTTCATTTTAGCTGTTTACTTTTGGTAAGTGTTCTGTTACAGTACAGTCTAGAAAGAGCTTTAGTGAAGGTTACAAATGACGTGCTTGTCCTGATCTCAGTGCAGCGTTCGATACTGTTGACTATAATATTTTATTACAGCGATTAGAGCATGTTGTTGGTATTAAAGGTACTGTGTGCAGTGGTTTGAATCATATCTATCTAGTATAGACTCCAATTTGTTCATGTAAATGGAGAGTGGAGAGTCTTCACACACTAAGGTTAATTAGGGAGTTCCACAGGGTTCCGTGCTAAGACCAATTCTGTTTACATCATTCATGCTTCCTTTAGGCAGCTAGAGTACTGACAGAGGACTAGAAAGAGAGAGCATGTTTCTCTGGCTTACTTGTGCTTCAAGATTAGGCTTAAAACTTTCCTTTTTTCTAAAGCATATAGTTAAGGCTGGATCAGGTGACACTGAATCCTCCCTTAATTACGCTGCAATAGGTCTAGGCTGCTGGGGTATTCCCATGATGCATTGAGTATTTCATCTTTAGTCAGCTTTTTCACCCACTATGTGTTTATACACTTCTCTTCATTTGAGAATAGCTGTTATTAATCTCTAGCTCTCTTCCACAGCATGTTTTTTTTCCTGTCTTGCTCCTCTTACCTCAACCGATCGCGGCAGACGGCCGCCCCTCCATGAACCTGGTTCTGCTGGAGGTTTCTTCCTGTTAAAAGGGAGTTTTTCCTTCCCACTGTCGCCAAAGTGCTTGCTCATAGGGGGTAACATAATTGTTCTGGTTTTCTCTGTTTTCTTTGTATTATTGTAGGGTCTACCTTACAATATAAAGCACCTTGATGCAACTGTTGTTGTGATTTGGCGCTGTGTAACTTAAATGAAATTGAAAAATTGAATTGAACATTCTGGTTACTCTGCATTCTGTTTCAGTTTAATTTGTGAAATGGCAAATACCCTATTATTGTAAATACTGTGAATCATTTCATCCTAATAGAGTATTCATCACGTGCATTATGAAGCCACACTTCATGGCTTAGGAATCTTCAGGGCTACTATGATTTCATATTTCTCAACTGTGAATAATCAGGCCTTGAAGAGAGAGGAAAATTGTTCAGGTGAGGTATGCATACATGCTCTTTCTAGCCCTTCCTTTCCTTAACTGAGGAAATTGCCTGTTAAATGTTATATTGTGGGGCAAAAAGAGCACAGCTTGCTTTATAGGTATGTAGCAGCTAATTGAGATTCAAATCTCGTCCCTGTTCAACACTAAAGTGTCAGATTGGAGGACACTTTTTTAAGCTTGTGTTTCTATACATCCATGTGTATTCACATGGATGCACATGTGTCCATGCTATGGTTAGCTTCAGGGTGGTATTATTTCCTCTTATTCTCCCTGTCTGTGTCTCTGTACTTGCTTGTGTGATTTGTGTGGTGGGAGCCAAGCCCATCCAATGGAAATGACAGGTTGAGGATATTGACTTTGATGGTCCTTTTTGCTACAAGCGATTTTTTCATGCTTTTGTAGAGCTTTGACTTGTACACAAAAAAACACCTATCAAGGGACAAATACTGACCATGTGAAACATTTAAATGAGGCTTTCTTCCTTTTTTCTGTTTGTGGATGGGTCGAACTGTAAAAAGCAAAGCTTGGGGGAATTAAACAAACATAAAGTGGAGTTGCTTAGTGGAAAAAAAAGATTGTTGAGTCTCGAAAGGAAGAAAGTGACAAGTTTTTAGTAGCCTGGGTCCACGGATCCTTTCGTCAGTCGTGCACTTTGATAGCTCATGTCATGTTTCCTATCCTCTAAAGATGTGCAAATACATACTCTCATCCGCTGATAAAATATATAATATCAAACGAAGTCTAGTTGAGCCCTGTTTTACTTTAATTGTAGAATGAACTTTACATTTATATCAAAGACCAGTGACATAGTAATTGCTTCATCCAGATCTCCTTTGTGTGGGACTACATTTTGAAATTGAATTTGGCCCGCTTGGTTGAGGGCATACCACATTTGATTACAACGACTCTCTGAGGAACATAATGACCAACTGAACTTGTCTTTGTCTGAGAAAGAATCAGGAGATGAGTGGGAGGGAAGGCAAGGCAGGATGGAGAAATGGAGTGCTTTTTTTCCCCCTACCAGACTGAAAGACTGACAGTGAAGAAGAGGAAAATGAGGGAGTAAATAGGTCTGATTATCAAGGTGGCCTAATGGTGCTGACTGTCCCCATTTGACAGACTAATAGTACACTTGACAGATAGATGTAGAAGAAGCAATGCCCAGGCCTATTGTTGAAGTCTGCTGCAGTAATGAGGTGTCTGCTAGTAATCTGCCAAGCCTATGTCCAGCTCTATATGGCCCCTTTGTAGACAGGTAATTGCACTGTTCCTGACTTCAATGGGGGTTTTCGAGGTCAATAACGATGTAGAAGTATCCAGAAGGGATAAATGTTAATGCGCTCAAAAAAAAGAAGAAAAAACACCCAACAACAACAACAAAGACATCCTTAAGATATAAGGTTCTAGATTCCCAAAGACTCTTCAGTGCAGCAGTGAAGCACATTTATACTTTCAGAAACATTGAATACTTACATCATCTTATACATTCACTGAACAAATTCAGTGTAAAGTAAAGCACGATGGGCTGCGCCATTTAAATGTTGCCATCAAAGTGTGTCCACAAGTCCCCTGCAGACTTTCATGCATCCATGAAAAACTCTGTTGTTTCCAGCATCTCTACAATCAATTTAAAATATATGAAGTATAAAGTCAATCAAATGTGCAACAGTTTCTGTTGGCAAATTTCCCAGCTTATGCGAAGGGAAAAGTAACTCCATCTCTAAATGAAATAGAAAATAACACCTAAACCTTATTTGTGTGCACAGCTGTTTATTTGTGGAGGGAGTGTGACTGAGTAATGTAACAAGCATTTGTATCCTGTACATCTTAGCCTCGAGGAACATATAAAATCAGTTGTTGACCAGTTTATTTCAAGTTGGTATTTTTCTGTTTTATTGTGGTTGTTGTGTGACTGCGCAAACTATGCGTTGACTTTCTGGAAACTAAGCAGCTAAATCTTCTATGAGTTAGGTAGCGAGTCACTTTGGCTTGAAGGTTGGCCATATTTATTTGAACCAGAGTGCACAGATGAGGATGTGGAAATTTGCCTCAGCAGATTCTAGAGTCTTGATCGATGAGAGTATTCCCAGTTGTATGAATTTGTGGCTTTGCTAAACATTATCCATAAAGTAAAAGCTATTAGAACAAATAAAAAGCAAGATGTTTATACTGATCAATGGACAAATCACCCTGCACTGGGTAGGCCAGAAGAGATCTGGCATAGAGATCCATAATGCAGTTAGCAGTTTTCATCAATAAGGTATTTTTGACTGATCTCTTATTTTCCAAAGGGGTCACCACAACAGATTTTACACCAGAAGCCCAGCGTGATGCAACCCTTCCAGTTATTTGGGACTGGGACCTGATAGGGACTAGACTAGGAGTGGACTAGATGTCACAAGTTCCCAGAATATAACCAGTGATCTTTCACATGTAAGGCTTGCATGTTTTGCTACAGGTGGCTAATTTCCATGTTTGCCATGGAAATGTACATATTGCTTACTTATTTATACAATCCATAGTTGTCGTGAGGTCTTGCGGATTGAATTTAAGACTAAAGGATCAACTTTTTGAAGACTATCTTAAACTATAGCCTTTATATCCATATACAGCATTGCACCTTAACATGACTCCAAAGCGTACGGGCAGTGATATAGTTTCAGGTCACGGAAAAGCAATAAAAAGACAGTTTTATCAGTTTCACACTCAATTTCAGTTCAGGCATTGATAGCAAAAATTTACATTTCCCTGATTCTAAACTACAAATAACACCATAAAATATATAATTTAGAAGATAAGTAGAGCCTACCTGTGAAATATAGGCTGTTTGTCAAGGGCAGTGTTACATTATTGCCTTTCTGGTCTGATAACAACCTGTGAGGGGATATGTGTTCAAGTGATCATGATAAAAAGTTTGCACTTGTGTTGGTGAAGTCTCTGCATTTTCATTTCGACTTGGGTTCACCATAAATAGTCGTGTGATTGCGGTAAACCAAGGGTATCCAGAAAACAGTATGCAGCAGTATTTAGATGGCTGTAGCATGAACTGGCTATGAAAAGACAAGGTTGAGGGGAGCAAGGGGAGACTGTGGAGGAGTAGAAGAAAAGGAGAGGATAGTGGGGGAGGGGGGTAAGGGGATTTAGTGTGAATCACCAAAGAGGCCATTTAACTGCCCTCGATCCCAGCGTGTGTCTGGGAGGAAGGGCTGATCAATAGTGTGATTTAGGAGTTCATTCACAGCCTTTGCTCTCCAGGAAACAAACACGCACACACACACACATATAATGATAAAGACACACAGGTTATATACTGCCCCCGTTAAGACCATCATTCAAGCCTGGCCTGAATTTAGTCATATTTATCTATCTTGGCCACTGGATAATAGCTTTTGTGTATGTTGTTTAATTTAAAGATTAAGAAACTCTCTTTTGGATTTAGTTAAATACAATATGGCCACAGAGTTAAATATCACACCATTGGCAGTAAAACCATAAACGTGTGGTGAATACTACACTGTGCTAGCCGTGTTCCCTCATTTATTCCATCCTGGGCAGTTAACTTGTACAAAGTGCTGCTAGCAAAGTGTTTTTGTTGTGTTTTTTTATCCCAACCTTTTCAAATGTGGTAACTCTGTTCCCTGAATTGTTATGTGGGGTTTTAGTGAACACTTCATGAAATAAATATCCAAAAGCCTCTTGACTGGTGCCGTTTTATGGAGCTAATACCCAACATTTCTCTGATCTTACTAGCACAGCCTTCTTGACCTAGATTATGTGCCAACAATCCCTCAGACCACAGAACGCCAAGTGTATCTACAAACAA